GGTGCGTCCTGGTGCTAGTTCTTCACTCTCCCTATTCCATCCTACGCCCTGTTGCCGTGACTTGGCAGTCTTGTGTTATTGTTATGCCTTTACCCACCTGTGACATTGCATGCTTCATTCTACATTCACTCTATATTCTGGACTTTGAGCTGCCTCAATCTCATCTACTTAATCTACTTCTCTTCTTTACAGAATGGTGTAAATATATGTTTATATAATAACAGAAAGCTGCGTGAGGAAGTAGAAAAGAACGGCAAAAAATAGATTTGAGTGGATAAAGTAGATTAGCAAATAAGTAATTCTCCACAATCCTGGACTCCTGATCTGCTCGCTCTACAAAAGCAGACTAGACGAGAGGCGAGTAAACCACAAACGGTAGTATCGATGTAGATATATAATTCTATCTTACCTGCCTTCCTTGACTCCAGTCTTCTCTGCCTACCCTACTGTGTTAAAAAGATTGGTAGAAGAGAACTGACTTGAGTGAGAAAACACCATGGCACTGGGCAAGGAGGCAGAAACAATCTGAGATATTGTAGAGTCAGGGAGCTTACAATGTGAAGCTGACGGCTGAGAGCCAGAAGTGTAGAGCAATTACACGCAAAGGGAAAGCTGCAATCCAAGTACGTCCTTGCCCTCTCTGTTCATGTATCCATGCAATTCCTGTCTGCCATACACTTGGCGTGCTGTCTATACAGATATATTCTACTCTCTTCATTTCTGTATTACTCGTCTTCCTTTGCCAAGCATTTTATCATTTTGCCAAAGATTTGCGCCAACAATTGCCAGATCGAACCGTGTGGAGAGCGTGAACGGTGTGGAGAGCGTGGCACAGTGGAGTGGACCGTAGAGACTGGACCATGTGTGTCACCCAGCTCTCCGAGAGCACCAAACGAAGGAATGCAAAAGTCTCAGTCGGGAAGAAACTGATTGTACTATATATTGTATACAAGAGACTCTGTGGATCTCTCTTGTCTGCTGTTGAACATTCCAACAAACTAGTTGCAAGTAGTGAAGTAGCCTCTCAAAAGAGCTCAACCCAGTTGCGACAGCAAACCTTTAGGAAAATCAATCCCTTTTGTCTTGACAAGCCGCTTAAAGGGGTCTCACAGCCAGCCATGCCAGTTGGGAATCAGCTCAACACTATACGCATATCAGACTGTTTACTGGCCGCTTGTGATACACATGCAAGTTGATGCTTTTGCTTTGTGTGAAAGACTAGACAAAATTAGTCGATATGATATGTGGTCATCCCTTAAGAGGATTCCACAGAAGACTATCTACTGTATTAGAAGTAGAATTTAGAATTGCCTAGCTTCTGTGGCACAGAAGAACAGCTGGCACCCTAAGTGAACTTGTGAGGCTGGACTCTGATGGTCTTTTCCTGGGGCTAGAATCTGATAAATTGTCTTGCTTGTGGAAGAATGTGATATTTCCTGTGGACATGGTTGATGTTGAGTGCTTGAACTTGTTTGCTGCAATAGTGTCATCGCAGTGCACAAATGAATTTCACTAAGTGCTCTTGACCGTGTAGAACTGCCGTTCTTGCTTTTCTCAGGGCGCGAGGATTCACAGCAAAAGGTGAAACTTAGACATATGGCAAATCGACGGCTATGGGCTTCGTTCGACCACTTTGATCCGTGCTGCCCTGATGCTCGCAGCCCATTGCCCCGATGTGGGTGAAACCGGCGATCAATTTCACGCCTCAAGGAAGCGATGCTGGAGAGAGTCCATGCTGGACGCTTTTTCTTGCCCGGGAAAAGGGAGGGTAGGCCGTAGTAAGCCTCAGTAGCTGTAGCAGGCCAAAAAGTACAGTAGATACAAGCTACTAAGCTTAAAAAGCTACTACCCAGGATGCAGGCTAGGGCTCTAGCTTCTTCAAGGAAGCTCACCCCACCCTCGGGAGCTTCCTTGAAGAAGCCTGGGCCTTACTCCGGGGAAAAACAACATAGACCGAGACTCAATTTCAAGTGCGCTTTAACATGGACCACTGGAAACGGTGACTTCCTGGGATTATTAGCGCCTCTTTTGGCAATTTCTGGACCCTCACTAACATGGACCGTTCCCACTCTCAGTCTATGATCGATTTTGACACTAACATGGACCAACTGCACTCTGACTATAAACTGAACGCAGGCTAACATAGACCGCGCCGGTAGAGGTCAACATAGCCCGGTGGAGGCTAACATGGACCATGCCAAGTACCCGTAGGGCCCACCATGGCACATCTGAATTTGGTCTAATTAGGTTAGTCTCAACGGTGTCCGCTCGGAAACTAGACTAGACTAACATATGCCAAAAAAAATAATGTTCTTTCTTTGGCCAAAATGTTAGTTTTCACCGGTGTAATGATTCGGTTCCTAGATTTCCCTGGGCAAACTCATCTTGAGAATCTGAGCATCGCCAGTTGCAGTCATCGGAACAAACAGGGTCCATGTATCACGAGCTCACACTCAACTCCTGTTCTGTCGTTCCTGCATACTTCCACCAAGTTGCCGCACGCGAAAGCCCAGGCAAAGCCTGTGCGGCACACCCCTCCTCCTGAGCACAACTCTGTCTTTAGCTACGGAGTTCCTCAATGCCAAAACAGATTCAACGGCTCGACCGCTCTGAACACACTTGAATACTCTGAACACGGCTGAGTCGGATGAATCTCAAACCTGGGATCAAGCAGCTCGGGCGCGGCGAAGGCTCTTCACCAATGCCCAGACTTGTGACTTGGCCTCCGTCGATGTTTGCAGCGGAAATGGAGCAAACACGCGGGAAGTGGGTCTGATGATGTCATTTTTGAGTTGATTGGCGCCGTTGGCCTCCTCTACGGGTAACTCTTCGGCTGCGTAGGTTGTCCCTGCGAATGCAGCTTCATTCAACAAGGCACGGGCAGGGGCTATGAGTGGAGGAGCACATGATCTAGCTGCGACTCTAAGTATAATTAGCTTTCAGCTTTGAGGGTGTTACAATGTGTTACACAGGGCATCCCTTGAGACCACTTCCGAAAGGAAGTATATAAGTTGACTTCAAAATCAAATCCTGCTGACTACCACTGGCTCCAAGCTCCGGACCCAGCATGCGATGACAGGCGTCCAGCTCTTTGCTATCCAACAAGCTAGACCTAAGTAGCTATCCAGATCCGGCAACAGCTCTTCCATGAGCGTGTGTGTGTACAAATTGAGAGCTTCCGTGCTAACTAAATACATTCTCTTTCTCAAGGTCAGGAGGGACGAAATTCTGCCCGACTTTTCAACCCTCCTTCCATGACTATGTGTCATAACTATATTTGTGTACAGTATGTATATATAAATATGGAAAGCTCAAAAGCGTTGCAGAAAACCCACGAACCAAAGCAAAACACGTGAGACGCTCGGCACGAGGCTGCTCTAAACGTTGCATGAAGTCTGGCAAGCCCAAAGTTTCTGTGCCCGCATAAGCCTACAAGACCATGGTTTCAGAGTCATGAAAGGGCGAGACAGCTACCACATGAGCTACCACATGTTACCACAGCCAGCTTTTGGCCTCATCCAAGACTGCATAGAATTTCTCCTCATCCTCAACCACTCGATTATCGCTAGGTTGTGTTGAGACTAATCAACTTGTCTGCACTTGAAATGGATATTGTCTAACTCACTCAAGTCCAACTCGATTCTCTTCTCAAATCTTGTAGATCGATCAAGCAAAAGAACTGTCTTGAACTACAATTGTCCTGAGCACTTGTGTCGTTCTTCACAATCGCTTTCCTGGGCAATTGCCAGTACTGGAAACACCGTATGTTGCCGATCCTGAATTGCATACTAGTTGTGACTCGTGCCCCCAGTCTTCAAAGGCTAGCTGGTGCCCGTGATGTTGCAGGATTTGTAATCGATGTGTCATGGTCAAAGTTATCAACCTTGGTGCCATGGGTGTGGCTAATGCGGTCCAGACTCTCGAAGGACAACATTGACCGAATGAGGCCAACCTGGTCAAAAAAAAAATGTCAAACTTTGCTTGAGGAACAAATCTTAAGTTTCAACTGAAACTGCTGAAGAGCACTTGGTGACATAAGTTTGTCAACTTCTGTTCTCAACAGCAGGTTGAACCGAGGCACTGCTCGAGGGACAAAGTTGGAGTAAGAGATCATGTTATCCGCATTCACCTGCACTGGTCAGAACGAAGCTACTAGGAGCAAAGGGCATCGCTACTAGGAACAAGGACGCTACTAGGGGCTCCTGGCCTTACTACTAGGAACAAGAAGCTACTAGTTACTAGGAGCAAAGGGCATCGCTTGATTTCACCAAATCGCCTCAGCTTCACTGAGCACGGTGTAGATCTGCATACGCGTCAAACCCAACATGGCCTCGGCAGTTCGTCACAGTGGTGACAAGCTGCTCGCGACCCCTGCCCTGCCTGATGGAGCAAGTCTCTCATCTCGTCGAGACCCAACATTCCGGTCATTTCGGTGTCCTGCACAAAAATGAACAATGAAGCATGATGAAGTTCCAAATATGTCGGTCTGGCATACGGGGCTAAGAGTGGGTTTCACTGATGGAAACAAGGACTGGATGTGTTTTCCCAGCTAGCCGACATCTACAAAACGAGAAAATGGCTTTGATGCCTTGGCTTTGAACAGGTCCAAGATGTACTGGGCCAGCTCATCATTCTCCAGCTCGGTCTCCAGCAACCGGAGCCTGTACCAGGAGTGTCAAGGTCAAAGCGCGCAAAAGTTGTCTCTTGTATTTCTACACAGCTAAGGCAAGAGCGATGCCATTTTTTGCAGCAAGTCAAAGGCAAATGGCACAAATTCCCTGTAGGAAACATTGCCATCGCGGTCCTTTGACCAGCTGTGCGTGGCTTCAGTTCATCTCAAAACCTCTCCAACACAAAGAGGTATGACATGTCCATTCCTGGTCCACCTGAAACATGATGGCGTTGATTTCGCGGCGAGTAAGCCTAGCAAGCGGGTGACAATGTTTCGCTTTCGAGGCAAGCACTTGACTGAGATCCTGGCCCAAGCTCCATTGAAGTGAGCGCAGCGACAAATTCCTGGATCGATTATATATAATTTCAGGTTGGTCCCTGCCAATATCTCAACCAATGATCTTGCAAACAGAGCCAATAGCAGTGCTCCCCTGATCCAAAGGCCTGCTTGTTCAAAATGCCACTGTGATCCTGGTGGCACGCAGTACTGGCCGGCTCTTGACACAACATCGGCTCTGCGCAAAAGTTGTAAACGCGAATCCAACATTTCTGGCAATTCAACGCGACGTCATTCAACTTGTTGTTTTATGTTTTATGTTGTTTTTCTATTTTTAGCATGCTCTTACTAATTAAGTAAGGGATAGTAAGGGAGTAAGCTCCCAGCTGGGACGCAGGATGGCTCACACTCGCACCACCAAGGATTTGGTTCCTAGATTTTTAGGGAAACTTAACCTTTTGTGGTTTTAGGCCCGAGTGCTAGGAAGCGGCCTAGGTCTATGCTGAGTGCAGGCGAAGACAGCTACAGGCTTCTACCTGTCATCTGAGGCAGTGTGACTTGTACACTCCCACCATCTGTCTGCTCCTCGTCCATGCGCTCGAACATGCTTCCCACCAACGCCGTGAGCTCCTGGAGAATGGCGGCATGAGCAGCATGGGGCATCCGCTGCAGTTGCTTTCAAGAGCAAAGCACGTCAAGTAAAAACACACTAGTTCTCTTGAATCTTTCTGGCCAAGTCTCCTCCCTTGACATGCCATGCACCAACAGCTCTTCGGCTTGCAAGTCCACGTCAGACTTGGTCCAAGCTGGTTCAAACTAGGCTGTGGGGCATTCAAGAAAACACCTTCCGATCAGGCTATTAGGGCTTCCTATCGGGTGCAGGAGCTTCTCATATATCCGATCTATATACTTCAGATTACTTCAGAATGATTGCGAATCAGATTGGACACTTTGCTGAATTGTGGCTCTACCGGCTCTACCAGGACAAATCGCCTGTGGTCCAATATCACTTTAGCCAGTCTTAGATGATCCTGCATATTTCACCCACAAGTTACAGGACCTCATCAGTTTCAACCAGTACGTCTGCTATAGTGAGGCAACCTGAGAACTGAGGAGCGGGCCAAATGCTGCTCAAGACGTTTCTTGGCATACCTCATGCGAAAAAAAAATCACCGCAAATGAAGAGTAGCAGTTTGCTAAAGGCCAAAGTGTTCAACAATTTCAGAGTTGATATTTGATCGCGCAGTTGCGGGGATCAAAATGTCCCGCTGAATTGTAAGGCTCAACCAACTGAGGCTCAAGTCTCTGTCCAAACTTTGAGCTACAGCTATATAACATTATATAACTCTCTTCAACAAGCACCGCACATTCCCTGAATGATCTGCAGCGCCAAAGGAATAAACTCCTTGCAAAGCGTCTTGACAACCAATCTCTGGACGCTTTGCAAGGCGCCTCGTACTCGATCTTGCCATCCGCATTCATGTCAGCCTCCACTTGCGTTCCACGGTGTTCCACTTCCCAATCCAAGCTTCGTCACTCACTCCTGCTATCTAGCTGATAGCCTCTTTTTTGTCTCACTCTTAAGACCGGGGGGGGTAGGTCCTTGAAGAAGTGCTCGGAGTGATTTGGTTCCTAGATTTTTAGGGAAGCTTAACATGCCAACCGCCTCTGCCAGAAAGAGCAGGATCTCATTCTTGGGAAAATCCAGCCGTTGCCTCGGCAGCTTTCGTCCAAAGCCAGCTTTTGATGACAATGAAGAAGAACTACAGTCATACAAACACAAAGTCCTCCTTCACTGTATCACAACCAATAGAATGCCAATTGCCACAACTTCCACATAAGTGCATTTGCATTGTGCTTAATGTCATGCCGATTGATATATTGTGATGAAATATGATGAAATTCCAAAAGGCCTTGCCCGAATCATTCCATGATCTGGAAATGCTTGACGAGGTAGGAATCAGTAGAAAAGGACATGGTAGAAAACTAAAAGTATGACTCTCCCCTTTCTAGTGCTACAATCCTTGACAACCCTGAATCCTGAGCAGTTACATCAAAGCGTTCACATGAAGAGAGACCGAATTTTCAAGAAATGCAAATTCTTCAACATGAGGCTGACCAAAAAGAATCCAACAATACCAGGGGTATTGGTTCAACACCAACAATACACAAATCGGCACATTTCTCGTCATTTCTCAATATGCTTCGTGACAGGCTATGATGCAACAAACCTCCCCCAATGGGAGAAGTCAACAATATCGCACTGGGCTCCCGCTCTGCAAGTCTGACATCAGGGCCTTGAACTCTGATGGATCCAAGAATTGACTTCCGTCCTGCCCGGAGAACGGGATGCGTCCAGGATGTGGTTTCCAACTGGATAGCGCACATCAACCTGAAGATGCGCATGATATGTAACAGCATAGTATTGTATTTTATATTAGATTTTAATATATGTATGCATACACACGGCAAAAGCGGCGGTCCTGGTCATACTTCTTGAACAAATCGTTGATGATGGCTTCAACCTCATCTAAAGACCTTGCAGGTGAAGCTCAGCGGCCAAATGATGCAGTTGCCAAGTGTATCGCTACTAGTAACAAGTGCATTTCTGCAGTAGCGCTTCTTGCTACTAGTAGCGATGCACTTGTTACTGGTAGCTTCTTGTTCCTAGTAGTAATGCCAGGAGCTACTAGCTTCTTGCTACTAGTAGCGATGCACTTGTTACTACTTGCGATGCCCGTGCTTCTAGTGCCAATGATCCGAGCTGAAAACATGTCTAGTTCCTGGGCAGCAGCTGCCTCACAGCAAAACACTCTGCAAATCACACTGCCTAAGGGTGATCAACTTTGAATTCCAACGTCATTCAGCCTAGACAACAACATTCCAGCTGAAAGCCAACTTCAAAGCATGGCCTGCCCACCATCTACCGGAAGTCCGCTAGCCAAACATTCGAAGTACCTGCAAATTCAGGCCAGCCGTTGGATCTGGCAAACGCAAGAATTCTGGCTTGATCACCAGCAAACAAGGTCAATGTCAATGCAAGGGCTCTGCCAAACCATCTTCGTGCGCACTTTGCTGCAAATTCATTGATATTCTCGGGCTGCGATCGCAGCACTTCGCGGGTGAAGTCCTGCAACATGGCACCTTCAACCCTGCTTCACTCTCGAATCAACCACTCTCAATGATTTCTAATGCGAAACGTTCTCATCTGAGAATCCCTGATTCCCCTTTTTGTTGCTAGGCATGACAAAGCAAAAGAAGTCCTTTAAGATGTCAGGGAACTCAGGCGGAACCTGCCAGTTGTGCCATCTGAAACTCAGCTTATTCTGAAACGGCCGCCACCTGGTACTGCTTTGCGAACTTGCTGGACCTAGGCTCTCGAGCACTGAGAGCAGTGCCTAGTTTGAGCTTGTGAAGCTAAGGTTGAAGGACATGCGAACGAGTAGCTATAGGCAGTGCCTATACGTAGCTATAGCTGCTAGCAGGAAACATGCGAACTGCCGAGGCGCACATCCAATTGTGCATGCTCTTTGAGGCCCTGGCATTGCAGCGAATTATGCGCCCCGCAGCAATCCGTCTGAGTCTTGAGAAAAATATATTGAAATTCCTGCAAGCCATCTCAGAGTTGCTCAAAGCTACTCCGATGTTGCTCCTTTTGCAATCTTTTGCCAATGCCAATTGCTTTGAGTCAACTGCTACAAGCTTTGGACAGCACCAAAGGTCTGCAATCAAGATCGGAACTCTTTTCCACTCATTCAGGTCTGCAGCCTCACCTTAAGTGACGATTGCCACCTGCTTCAGTCCTTAACATCCCTCGTGGGTGAAAGGACCGAATCAAAGAACCCAAGAGCGTTCCAGTTCAAAAGGAAACAAAAGGCGTTCTTCCAGTTGAAGGAGGTTGTTGCTAAGGTATACTGGAGTGGATCCTTGTAAGACTGGAACGTCCACAACATAAAGCATGAAAGCAATGTGCCCCTGTATGGTACACGGCATCTTGAACTACCTAACTCCGAGGCAGGATGCATCAGGTGCACAGATTTGCCTATCTGCTACCCTTCCATAGAGTGAACCTCAGCAGCCAAGCGCATGCGACGTGCTGGGTGGCCCGGCTTACACCCAATACAAGGATCCTTCAACGATCGAAAGCTATCTAAACGACAAATGGGTCCCATCATATAAGGCACGTGTCCAGTTCCTTCTGTCCTTGCTCTCCTTGCTTTAGCCCCGCCTCGCTGCCCGGCACTCCAAATCATGAGCTTTCCTGAGTTGCCCAACGCAAGAGTATTTTTCAGTAGGCAACTTCTTGATGCTTAGATGGTTGTGCCTCAGAAAAAAGGGTGCGACACGAACACGAGTCTGCATATTGTTCTTTGCAAATGGGTTTGGAGTGCCTCTTAGCTTGCGTGTATGTCAAGTTGAAGATGGTTTGGCAACAGACTCCTGCACCCTTCTTTTCTTGCAAACATCACCAATCAAGATGTCAAAAGCAAATGTGCTTGAGTGATGACAAGCAGCTTGAATACCCTGCCATAGTCGTACGCTTGTTCGATCAGCAAAGGCTTGTTGTGAACCTGTGAAGCCAAAGCAATAGAGAACCCCCCACTTCGACCCCTGCTTGCGAGAAAATTATCTGCTAAAACATGCTAAAACTGATGGGGCCAGCTGGGTCTTATGGGTTTTCCTATTTCAACACCCGGATCGAGACTCAGTTGATGTCAAGGCAGGTTGCTGAGAGGCCACACCTTGCGGTACATTTGCAACACCTCCTCTCTCGAAAGCTTCGCTCGCCTCTCCTCGCATGCGAACATACAAAACCCTCCAAATCCCCAGGCCTAAAAGAAAGGAAAAAAAGAAGAACAGCAGCAGCAGCAGCAGTTTTGCATTTTGAACATCCTCCTTGTGGGCAGGATACTACTGAGACCGTGCCAGGGGCTCTCGCACATGAGCCAAAAACCTTCCAGGAGCTTTAAAATGCACTCACACCTGTATGAATTCCTGCCAATCGGACCTTCGGTTGCCTAGAGACTTTCGATCCAGACTTTTAACCACTAAGCCTTGACAACACATAGTTCTTGCGTTCACCATGTCATCCAATGACCATGGGCGAACCATGATTTGCTGTTACTTTCTGATACCCTGAAAATAGGTCAGGCTGAGTTGGGTTGAAACAAAGATTGGCAAAAACACCGTTCCCTCAAAAACAGTTTTGCAACATTGTCCAAACACTGTAAAGTTAAGATACAGTTAGTTCACTAGAACTGCGGAGTGACAATATTATTCTCAACATCCTACGCAAGTCCCACGCAACCCTGTCGTTCAAACGACAGACATATGGCACCCTGGCACAGTGTGGTCAACATCGCGAATGATCTTGTGAGAGTTTTCCCACCAGGTTGGTCAAATGCCTCATCCCAACAAACTATTCAATGCGTCAGAAGAGCTTCAAACATGCAACATACATACTGAAAAGGTATAAGTTACGTGAAAAATAGTCCCTACATCCAGCTACACAAAACGTGTTACTTCTCAGCTTTCATAGGAAACTTCAGCTTGTTAATGTTGCCTACAACGGCGACGTGGGCTGCTTCAGCACAAAGAATGCCCAGCAGAATGCAAAACTGCAAATGGAGATATGCCATTTGGAGTAGCAAGTAAGTGAGTTCGTTACCGCAAATCGTCGTGCATTTCGAGCCAAACAGGCAAACTCAAATGCTAGTGTCACTGCGCATAGCAAATACGTGGACTGCACCGAAACTTCCAACAAGTCAATTCAAACATCTTATTACTAGGAGCAATGTTCGCTACTAGGAGCAAAGGGCATCGCTACTAGGAACAAGAACGCTACTAGGGGCTCCTGGCCTTACTACTAGGAGCAATATAGTTGCATGAGGACTGAAGCAGTTCCTCTTCTGCTTTCACTGCTGCCATCTTTTCCTGCACAGGATTCTTCAATCTACATATGACTTATGTAACGTAGCACAGAGCCAGGACAGCTTTGCCACAAGTACAAGGCTTAAAGCTTACGCATGTGTCGAGGACTTGACTTTCGTTGCCTCAAGGGCATTCATAGCCTTCTCTCTTCGCTCAATATCTTCACGGTCAGCATTCAGCTTTGCTTTCACCTGCATTCAGCACCACCTCTCTGGGCCGCAACGATCATCCCGTTAAGAACTCAACGTGATTCATTCAACGCGTTCATCGGACTCTTTAAGCGAAGCAAAAAAACAAAGAGTGTAGGATTTTCTTACACCCTGCTGGACCCTCCTGGCTTTTGCTGTTGACACATAGGAGGTTCAGTGACCATGGCGGTCCACCTTCTCCATCATGGCTTCGTGCTTTTGCTGCTCCATTTCCTGTAGGCAACGTGTCAGGACCCACCCAAGTTTATCTTGCTTGTCAGACCGTTCCAGCAACCAAATGAGGTGTTGGCTGCGACAAAGTGAAATCATCTAGTACTTTGTGCAGAAAGATTCCCGTCCTTGAGCCATTTTTGATACTCCGCTGTCTTTTCGTTTAGCTTTTCCAAGCCCTTTCTCACCTTGTCCGCCAGCGGCGAGAGTGTATGTTGGTGTTTGCTGGAGAGAGCCTTCTTCATTGGTTTGCCTATGCTGCCAAGTATCATTTTCCTGAACGATCAATGCTCTTTGCCTCCGCAGGTGGTTCGACACTGGCAGTCTCTTTCAACCCTCACTCGAAACATCCTGGGTGCCCCACGCCGGAGTGTTCACGGCCTGGGATGGCAACGTGAACTTCGGCTTGCTGACAGAGTCCTTGGATTGCCGCAAAAAATATGCGCATGCCTTGAGGCAGGGATTATGACCACTTCAGGCCCCTGAAAGCTAGGGCAATCGGTTGCAAAGGTGCGTCACTGTGCAATTCTGGTTCAACTATCAAGGACACTTATATATATATATATATACATAACCGCCAGCCTAACGTTATCGACGCCCTACTCACAGCTGACCATCAACGATGCTCAACCGTAACAGCCAGCTTAAGGTTATCTTCTCCACATCGACGCCCACTCAGCTAGCTAAAGCTTTCTGGACAAATGGGCAGCTTCAACGTTTACAGTGTGTGAGATCCACACAGCCCACTGCAGGCAACCCAAAGAGTCGTACATTTCATGCGGAAAGCGTCCATCCACACTACATTATATACATAAAACGCCACAAAAAGATCGAAATGTCAGGTAGCCGGTGGCACACGAAGCGAAGTAAACTTGGTACACTTCTCGATGCAACCGAAGGCGGTCTTTTCCACCTATGGCGAACAGCGAGGGTCGCGGGGTCCGGCCTGTAGTCAGGCCTGGGGCATCTAGTGCCACAGTTGGCCGAAGGGATCCCTTGATGGCAGCGGAAAACATCAAGGGTCAAGGCATGAACGATCCGGAAGCGAACTTGTCGAATTCGAAGCAAGAAACTTCACATGCCCCGAAGTTCGCTGTTGGATCTCTAACCACGTTGGATCTTTTAGATCCGGGATTTCAGAGTCCCTCTCAGCTTGCTCCTTCTTCTTCACCTTCTTGGCGGCCGTGAAGGTCTCATCGAAGACCAGGTTCCACCTTTGCTTCCCTTTGAGAAAGCTTGCAATGCCGTCTGCAGCAGACAGCTTGGTCATGCCATCTGCAAGCTGCTGGTGAGAGTTCACCCACCTCAGAACCGTGTTCTGCTCCTGCAGTTGCTGGTTCAGGCCCATGACCTCCAGCGCCGTGTGCTTCTCTTTTGCAGACAAATTGGGCACATCCTCCTGCTTGAGCATGTCGAACAGGGCTTTGGCGTCGATCACCAAGATGCCAGCTGTCTTCTTAGCAGTGTTGCTAGGATTGCTCAAGTCCAGGTCCTCGCCCAAAAGCTCTTGCCACAAAGCGCGAACCAGAAAAAGCTCTGCTTCACATTCTGCAAGCGCTTGAGCCTCAGCAGCCAAGCTTGATCTGCACACCCTCTTTAGTTTGTGGGTGCTCCAACTCACCAAGCTGACATGCCCTTGAAGTCCTTGGACCATGCTCTTATTCACAAAGCCAACCACATAGCCTCCCGTCGATGACAGGTCGATGCGATTTGCAAGCGCTGCATCACTCCAGCCCACAGCCACGATGTCCTCGTCTAGTGAGGCTTTGAGGTCATAGACCGACACCTTCTCCTCCTTTTGGCTGTAGAGCTCTCGGACAAACTTGTTGATGTCCTTGAGGATGTTGCGATCTCCTCGCGGCAGCATACTCTGCAGGTGGCTGAGTTTCGCAGCATGTTGTGGTCCAGTTTGGTAACATCTCCATTGGGCTGCTCCCAACACTGCACGGCATTGGTGAAGCTCATTCTTGGTCAGCTCCTTGCCATGACCATCTTCTATCACCTGGTTGAGGCCTTCACAAAACTCTGACTGACTCAGATGCCAGGTGTTCTTCTCGTCTTGGCTCATCCAGACACCGCAATGCACCATGGGCGGCACCTCCCAGGGACTCCACTTCAATGAGTTGAAGAACTTTGTGAGGAACTCTCCCCACAGCTGATCCTCCTCATCACCCATCAGCAGGAAGTCGTCGACGTGCGCTCCAACTGCTCCATGAACCTTAGTCCTCCCTTGCTCATCTCGTCGTCGTAGCACCCAAATGCTCGGGTCCACATGAAGACGATGAAGTCCCAACTGAGCAAGGATACGGTCCACGTGGTGGTAGAACTCGCGAGGTGCAATCGTCAACCCGTAGGCTGCTTTCATGAACTGCACTGCTTGTCCTTGCTGAAGTCCCATAGCCTCCTGGAGTTCAGAGACCGGCATTCCAAAGATCTGGCGACGTAGTTGAGCGTCACCACCCTGCAAGAAGGCAGCTTTGGCGTCTGACTTCAAAGTCTGCCAACCCTTATGGATGCCCATCTGCAGCAAACACTGACGTCCTCTGCGTGTCAACGTTGGGCTCCGCACTGATTCCAGGCCAAGGTCAGGGTCAGTGAAGCCAATGACCACTAGGCGAGCTTTCGCCTTGACGAACTTCGGGTCGTTGGTGCCTTTCAGAACCAAAACCCATCTCATGCGCATGAGGCGCTCTGCTGGTACTGGGCCAATGGCTGCCCTGCAGACTTTTGAGCTGAGCCATTCTTGGATCTCGATGCCTTTGGCTTCTTTCATAGCCTGCCTTTGTTCTGGGTTGAGTTTCTGCCAAGACACTTCTACTCCTTTTGCAAGCTTCTTCGCCACGAATTTTGCAGGATCACGGACAATGGCACGCCATTCACTTTCGTTGGCAGGAGTTGGGATGGTCACCGCAAAGGCATACTCTTCCACTTGATTCAGGAAGATCTCATCCAGGGCCATCTCATCCACAAACATGTTGTCAGGCTCTACAGTGCCCCGTTCCTGAAGGAACTCTTGACGTTGCACATGCTGTGGTCTCTCTGCATGCTCATGACGTCTTCTTGCTTGAAGGAAGAGAGGATGACGGTAGAGTGGTGCTGGATCCGGTTCTTGCTGTAGTAGTTGTTGGGGATCGTGGATCAACCCTTCTGGATCCAAGTCATCTCTTACCTCATGGCGAGGATCGAGTGGATCTTCCTCCTCCATCTCTACTTCGGGCGACATCTCCTCCTCTGGTGGCAGAAACTCCATGCGAGGTCGAGAGGCACTGGCTTGCCCCGTAGATGGTGCATCTTCTTCCTCAATGGATTCTAAGGCTCTCTTGGCGCGGTAGGTTCTTTCGCGCTCCTCTGCAGTCAGTCTGGCCCGCTTGGCTTCCTCTCGTTGCTGGTGGTCGGTCATGATCTCATCATCGAACTCCCCTTTGTTGATCAAACCAGTCAAATCTTGGAACGTCCAAGGAAGCGTCAACTGCGTCGTGCCCTGAGCCACCAATCTCTCTCTCTCTGAAGCATGTCGAAGTTGGTTCACGTGCACCTTCTTCAGTCGTCCTGAGGCAATGATCCAGGCGATTTGGTGCGGTTGTCGAACATGACCATCGTAGCTCACCTTGGTCTCGAGAGCCAGAACTCTTGCAGGACCATACCATCTTGCCACTTTGCGACGTGGAACATCAAGGGTCCGGTGCGATCGTTCTGCTCGATCCGCTGGAGGTTGGTACCTCTTGTAGTAGACCAAGGCTCCTGGGTCATACCGAACTGGTCGAGCCATCTTCGTGTTGTGAGCTTGGTTGATCTTCTCCTTCAAGATGAACTCCCGGTGATGTTTCTCGGCTTCCAGGCGACTGTTCAGTTGCCTTTGCATCTTCTCTGTGTTACCAACTCCAGACCAGTAGGGAAGATCTGGTCCATCATGAAGCCGAAGTGAATCCGTGAAGTTCCTCCCAAAGACCCATTGCGATGGCGAGTAGCCTCCAATGTTCGACAGAGAGTTGTGTGCTCCAATCATTGCCCAAGCTGCCACCTCGGGTGTCATAGCCGATGACCGAAGGTGTGACAGCATCTTTCTCTTCAGAGTGCCAATGAGCCTTTCAACTTGCCCAATCTGACCATGGCTTTCTGCCGGAATGGCATTGACCTCAACTCCATGGCTCTCAGCCCATTCCTCAAAGTGGCGTCCACGGTGTGCACCTTCTTTGTCCAGTTTGATCATCTTGGGGTAACCAAAGTACTGGATCCAACCTCGGTATAGAGCATCCACACATTCCTGCGAGGTTGCATTGCGAGATTGTCCAGGTGTGATCTGGTGCTTGAAGAGGAAGTTGGCTGCCCCGTAGCCTGAAGCTTCATCAGTGATGATCTGGAAATGGTAGGTGTGGTCACCGATGTTGATCTCCATGTTGTCCACTTGGATCACCTCCCAAAGCTCCGTGGCTTGTTCCAAAGTCACAGCTCTCCGTGATGGAGGTATTGCAGCTTCTTGGCAATCTGGACAGTGCACTATTGAGGCCAAGGTGCGAATCAGCTTTCCTGCTCCACGATCACGAAGCATCTTGAGGAACACTTGGCGACTGGGATGTCCCAACTTCTGATGGAGTTTGAGCACTTCTCCAGCTGTCTTTTGAACTTCTTGGTCCGTGAAGGGCTTGAGAGTGTCCATGTCGCAGTCCTCTGTGGCATTCATGTAGATGGCTTCGTCTCGATCTCCATGAACTTCTTCTACCATCTTTGCAATCTGCTGGCACATCCTGGTTGGATAGAATGCACTCTGCTTGGTCAAGGTGCCACCTTCGCAAGGGACATGAGGACCTTCGCAATGGCAAAGCTTGTGAAGCTTCCAGATGCGGCGTGTAGTCGCCCTCAATCTCCAAGGCTTCTTGATCAGTCCTCCACATGGTGCCTTCAGACCAAAAGCGCATCCATCAGTGTGAGCTTCATGATGTTGGATCTTGTGCCAGAAGTCCTCGATGACCTTGAACTTCCAACCTTTGTTGTGTCGTGGCCACTCCTGTGCCACTTCTCCACCTCGCTTGAGCTGGGCTTCCATCAAAGTCACCGCTCTGGTTGCCAGCTTTCGAGACTTAGCGATCTTGGCTTGGATCTTCTCATAGCCTTCAGGAGTGAGCGTGTTCAACTCCTGGATCTGCGAGGTCGGACCACATGGTAGTGCCACCCATACCACATCCGGTTTCTCCTCTTGGATGAGGCTCATAACTTTGTTGAAGCCACTTCTCTTGTTGAGATCACATCCATTGAACAATCCACAACGGATTCCTCGTCCTCCTCGAAGCTCCAGTGCACGAGTGATCCCACTGTTCTCCTCACAGCATAGCTCCAAAACTGTGGGTGGTCTACCATCGTTGTTCGTGGTCGTCAAGGTCATCATGAGCTCCTCAACCTCTTCCAAATAGGTTTCCACCTCATCGACCAGGAAAGTCTTCTCTTCTTTCTCGAGCTTGTTGACGAAGACCTCATTGTCATCCTGGTCTCTCTTCTTTCGCTTGCCGTTGGAAGGGTTGTCCATCCGCAAAATGCCGATGTCTCCTGATGGCAAAATGCTATCAGGGGTGAGATCTCCTTCTCCCTCAGAAGTGAGGTTCTCTTCCAAGACCATCTCGGTCGATTCAGCCATAGGTGGTGGCGATGATGTAGGTGAATTCCATGCCTGTGAAACGGTCATGCTCAGTCCTCGGGCGTTGTCTTCCTCCGACATGTTCTTCACTGTGTCCTTCCGCCCGGCTGACCTGAGATCATCGACCAAGATTCCGACTCCGGACTCTCCGTGAGCCTCTGACCATACTCCAAATCCTCCGCTGTCTCCTCGGGCTTGCGGCTCTTGCGACCAGGCGTGTGGCTCATCTCCTCTGCAAGCAGGACCGCCGGAGTCTTCTCCTTCGGGATTGGTCCGGAAGACATCAAACTTGTCTCCGGTTGATGCTGACTTGAGCTCCCTTGGTCCTTGCCCTTGGTGTAGCCCTTCCCCGGGCCTTTGTCGTTGTCCTTCGACTCGTTCTCCTTGAAGTTCTTGTCTTTGATGGACTGAGTCTTGAGCCACTCTTCTTTCTTGGCCTGGACCATCTTGAGCTGGTCCATGATGCTGCGCTCCTGGGCGTCGTAGCCAATCTTCTTGTTCACAAGGTCGACAGACCCCTTTGCTGGCTTCTTCTCTTCGAGCTGTTTGGTGGTGTCTTGATGTAAAGGGCCAGCTTGTCTGCATAGGCCATGACTGCCCCAGGTCGGCGTGTAGCTGAGCCTCAGTCCGCATGCTTGGCGTCCGGTCCAGCACGCGTACTTGTTGCTCCCCGTGACTGAGCCCTTGCCTGGGAGAGCTTCCACATGCTCTCCGTGGCATGGTGGCCCGGAGGTTCGTGGATCCTCCTTGTCGGGCCCTTGAGTCCTCGACCAGTCGTACTTCTCCTCGGCCGGGATGGCTTTCTTCGTCGATGCCACCTTCTCCTTCTTGGGCGCCATGGCGAGGAGAGTTCGGGGATGCAACGCTCTCTGGGCTGATGAGCTGTTGCAGGATGATGTCTCTCATCTCTTGAGTCACTGAAGGCAACGGATGATGTTCGTGGTGATCATCTAAAAGAAAAACTCCGTCTTGCTGCAAGTCTTCACCTGGACTACCTTCTTCGACTTCATGTCTCATCATCCAAACAACATCACAAGTCAAAGCTGAAGCTGACGACGTGAGCGAAAATGAACTGCAGGAAACATGCTCTGACTGAAAGGAATTGGTGATGAGTGGAGTTGTTTGCAACCACGACGCTCGACAAGGCTCCATGTACACTCGATGGTCTCCAGCGCTCTTCAAAGGTTGACTCACGTTGAGCCAATCCATGGTGAGATTCACCAACAAGTGACCTGCTCGGCTCTTAGCCAAAGGGATCTTCACCTCAGGCGAGATGGCAGAGAGCACCAACCAGCGGCCACAAACATCAATCAACGCTCCCATCTTCTCAAGCGTTTTCATGCCGATCAGGATGGGCACTTTCTCAGCGTCGATCGTGTACACACCAAGTGACACTAATCTATCACCAAGGCGCTGGGGAACCATGACATAGCTTGAGGAGACTTGTACTCCACCATTGCCGAAGCGAAAAGGTTTCTTCGATGAAGGTCCGGTGAACACCTCCACCGGCTCTTGGATTCCATGGACAGTGCTGCGAATCATCATGAGTGCTTCCAAGGCTTCAAGAGAGCCAACAGTTTCTGTGGCCCCCAAATCCAGCACACCATAACCATCGGTATTGTGGATCACCTCATTCTCGTCCATGGCCATGCCCACAAAGGCAAGAGGGGATCCAGTCAAGGCTTCAACCCAGTAGGTCCCTTTCTTTGAACCCTTTCCAAATGAAGAATTCGAGGAAGATGTCCTCTTGGGACAGTTTCGAAAGCCATGTCCTTTGTCTCCGCAAATGAAGCATCCCACACTCGAAGAGGTCGATGTTCCACCATCTTGACCTTGAACTGCAAATAGCGGCTTAGGCTGCATAGACGAAGAGCTCGAGGAGCTAAAACTTCCGCTCCCCTTTCCTTTCTTGAACTTACCTTTTGATTTTCCTTTCTTGCCCTTCATCATTCCGAGGGGGTAGAATCCTCGGCTAGCACCCTTTGCTCGCTGAAGTTGTCGACTCTGCATGAAGGTGCGAGCTTTGTTCTCATAGGCCATATAGGCTTCATCCAGCTCCTTGACCTCCTCGGGGTTCAGGTCGGAATAGCCTTCATCTGCGCTCCAAAAGGCTCCATGTCCATCGGTCTCGAGCCAGTACCCATAGGCATCTTGGCAATATCCATGCCATCCATCAACTTCCCAAGTCCAGAACACATCGTCCTCCTCAGTGTCCAAGGAGCTGCCAACACCTGGGTCGTATACTTCAGCAGGAAGTTGAGGTCCAACCCAATGGATCTCCGCTGCATCATCCACCTCCTCAGAAGTCGTGGCCATCAGGCCCCATTGGCCTTCTTCTTCAACCCAGTAAGTGCGGCGCTTGCCATGATGCTGTCCTCGAGATTGATCCGCTTGAAGAAGTTCTTCTTCTTGATCTCGTAGCGCCACCTCAATGTCCTGGAACTTCAGGGAGTTGTTCACGGAAGCCTGCACCGACAAACGTGATGCAGCACTCAAGTTGGCTCGTCGAAGCAAGAGCCAACCGAGCACTTCGTCCGGCAAGACCTGAATCTCTTCAGTTTGCAGCTCATCCCAAGGAAGATCTTCACCCGAACTGGAGTCGTCGTCGTACCAGTCTTTGCGTTGTTGCCTCCTCCAGTCTCTCCACTCAGCGTCAGTCCAACCTTGACCGACGTGGTCATCTTCATCATCACGTTCATGAGGATCTCGTTGAGGGATCGCGGCATAGTCACCTTGCTCATCCTCAGACTCTTGAATGGTCGCCTGAGGGTCCGCTCCATATCCAGCCGTTCTGCGTGTTGGGCTCGGGGTCGTCCGATGAGTAGGGCTCGAAGTGGGTGTCCTCCTCGTCGGAGATGTAGGAGGCTCTTGATGCGGCTCCGAGACACTCTTCACCTCTTCTTTGTCCTTGGATCTCTGAAGCTGTCGTGCCCTGATGAGAGCTCTCTGAACCTTCCTGTAGCCCTCGAGGACCTCGTTGGCCCATTGACTCATGGCCATTCCTAATGGCCTGCGTAGTCGGATCAGCAGATCCTCCAACCTTGCTCCAGCATCTGGGATGGCCGTGCGGCAAAGGCGCTCCTGGAGGTACTTCAAGAGATACTTGGTGCCATTGCGCTTCCCAAGTTTGCTGTGGTCCAAGCTCGGAGTCACAGCCCATGCCCTTCCAGTGAGCTTGCTGGCCAATTCCGGCCCCAAGAGCTTGCGTTTGTGCTTGGGTGTCTTCTCCCAGCAAAGGCGAACCTGTCGTGCATAGTCATTCCAACCTGTTGGTTCACCATTCCAACTAGCAACCTCTTTGAAGTCTTTCGAACTCATGAGGTCCTTCTCAAACAGGTCGAGGGAGGTGACCAGGGAGTAGAGCTCTCCTCAGCAGCAGGCAGCAGCGCCAGGAAGAGCTTATCGGAATCCTCGAGGATGGAGTTCTAGCGTAGTCGTAGGCGAGGCCACCGTTCTCAGAGAGGTCGGCCTCGAAGGACTTGATCTCAAAGCCCGGTCAGCAGACCGAGCGAGCCAGGCAGGACCGCCCGGCTCCGCTACCAATGTCAGGTAGCCGGTGGCACACGAAGCGAAGTAAACTTGGTACACTTCTCGATGCAACCGAAGGCGGTCTTTTCCACCTATGGCGAACAGCGAGGGTCGCGGGGTCCGGCCTGTAGTCAGGCCTGGGGCATCTAGTGCCACAGTTGGCCGAAGGGATCCCTTGATGGCAGCGGAAAACATCAAGGGTCAAGGCATGAACGATCCGGAAGCGAACTTGTCGAATTCGAAGCAAGAAACTTCACACGAAAGAAGTTGTTGAGAAAATGACACTCTGGCAAGAAAATTAGTCTCAACTTGAGCTCAACATCAATCAAGAGTCTAGCCAGATTCGGTACTCCTGCTCCCTGGCAGAGACCTGCAGCTCATTTCCAGCTGGATTGAGAAGCTGCAGTGTGAGCGGACCAGCTGATCGTGCAAACCGTCATGTCATTGCAGCAGTCACATCTGTTATGTGCATACCGTTACCGGTGCTTCTCTTTGTTTCTATGCTCAACAAGTGAAAAAGACTTAAGCCAGCTCAAACCTACCTCCACTTGTTCTTTGTAAGCTTTAGTGCATCAGTGTGAGGAGCCTCCTTGTGTAACGCAGCCTTCTTCTCGGACACCAATTCCTGTGAAATTGTCATAATTGACTCAGCTTTGACAGCATCCCAGTCCCACCAACGTATACAAATAGGACTCAAAGTGGCAACTGTTCAGCATGTTCAGTATTTTGTTCAGGCTTCAAGTTTCAGCAGAACAAAGCAGGCCACTAGCTGTGCAAACAGTTTGATCTAGTAACGTGTCATCGCTTCACCAAAGCCACAGGCGTGCATCGTACAAAAAGGTCTTGACGGTCTTGATCAGGTTTGATCGAAGAGAACTCCAAAAATCGAATTTTCGCCTCGCCTCGACACTCTTCCCATCGAACTTGTAGAGAGGTGCCACCCCTGGCCGAGCAGCCACCGCCTGGCCATGTTGGTCAAAAGTGGAGTACAGGTAGCTACTAGCTACTTAAACTCCTAGGTAGGACGCATGATAGCTCACGCACTAATGATTCGGTTCCTAGATTGATAGGGAGTGGGAGGAGTGTGCAGAATGGTGAAGATCTGATGGCTGCAGAAGCCGCCACTCGCAATCTGATACTTTGTGAATCAAAAACCCTTTCCGCACAGCAAACGGCCACTGGCATTAGACGCCAAGGAGACATGAAAGGATACCCTTACTTGATGTGCGATGCATGTGGCAAGGATTCAGACAGAAGGGAGCCACATAGGTATCGGATGTATCGTGCACAAGCATGACGTCTTTAGGCATGTGCTCATCGTGTCCATCTCAAAAGTTTGGGACTTGAGATTGAAGTTACTAGTAGCGATGGCCTCCACCTAATAGCGTCCTTGTTACTAGTAGCTTGAAGTTATACTATGTTATACTTCCATTCCAAGAACTTAAAGGCATCCGAAGAGAATCGAAATACAGGATGCCGATGAAATGCACTACTGGTCACTACTTGTGGAGCGTGGGGAACATGTGTCAAGTGTCATCTGTTTGGACCTTCACACTTTTCGGATCCAAACGCCAGCAGACCGGTTGGGAAACGCTTCATGCGAGATTGACCGAACGGATCAGCAGCTTGCCATTTCTCTGTGGTTTCAACTGCCTGTTTTGCATCGGCCAGCCAGTTCCAATATTCCTTCTCCTTCTCCTGAAAATGTCCATGGTTGAGACACTTTAACTTGGGATTGTTACTTTATGTTGCTAGCTCCCAAAGAAAGTCCAAGATCAAGCCTTGAATCCGGCAGCCTTGTTTTCAAGCTCCTCCGCGAAAGAGGCAAGGAATGGGCTAATGATGCTAACGGGTCGATCCTTCTCAAGCCTTTCTCATGCGTTTGCGTCCATTGTTCAGATGTCTTCAGCACATTGGACGCACTACCGTCCTTTTGAAGTGAAGCCTGCATCTCCTGACTGTATCTCACAGAAAAGACGCTTCACTTGCAAGCGGCTGACATAGATTCAATGTTGCACACTTGGAGTCAGTGTCCCCTAAAAGCGGCCACTTCGGCAAAGCTCGCTGCCAGTTTTCTGTTGTTCAAATCATCGATCTCATTTCGCCTGTGGGTGCAGCACACATCTTCATGCATCTCTGTACCAGAATAGCACAAATCACACATGAATATCAAAAAAAAATCTGGAAAGCCGGCAAAACTGCGAATGCCCCACCTTTGCTGCAACTTTTCTTGAATCCGTTCTTGCTGTCGCTCCTCCATCTCCTCAAAGCACGCAACAATTGGAAGTGGGATGTGTTCTGCCTCGATTCTAAAGCCCGTCCTTGAGCCAATTCCTTGGGTCACTTCGCACATGGAAACACCTTTGAGGCCTCTCCACCTGAAAACTCTCCTTGAGAACCAGTGCTATTTGGAGGCTGTTTGGCAAAAAGCAAAGGAATTTATGAATTTTTTGCTCTTGAAAACTGCAAGGGCTCAAGGCCCTGTGACATCCTGCCCCATCCGTTCGACTTGCTCCAAGGTGCTGATACTTCTCGTCCGTCTCCTGCAAAGCTCGTTGGCCCTTCTCGACCTCTGCATCAGCTCAACGCCGGACACAACGCAAGCAGTGGTAAAGCATACGCCTACACACGTACAAATATATATATACTGTATATGTATATACACACTGTATTATATATAAAGAGCGGGTAGTCATGGGGGTGGGGTTGAGAAAGTGATTGTGTAAGGTGCTTCTCTTTTTGCAGACGATATGACATGTATAGGGTTGTGAAAGTTGTTCTTTTGTAAGGTGTTGCTCTTTTTGGGTGATGATATCACATTGATAGGATTGTGAAATTTGTGTGTTTTTTTGCTCTATGTGCAGTTGGTAAGCATATTTGTTCATTCAACTATGTACTACAAAAAGGTCTAAACCCATAAGGTTAGGTGTTTACTAAAAAGTTCTTGGATGTAGCAATCTAATTCCACGCAGCCCCCATGCACAACCATATTTCTTGCTTTTAGAGTGTGAATTGTATTGCTCTTATTGAATGCAGTTAGGTGTAAGTACATCAGAACCAGAAGGCAAGGAATTACAAACCCTAAATCACCAAATTCCAATTTGAATTCAAATTTAAGTCTATTTCAATTATGTTTTAATTCTACGTTGATTCAAATTTCCTTCACTATGGAATCTAATATATTTGGGATTCAATGCGAGCCAAACTTTAATTTGATTTCAAGCTAACTCTAATTTCAGTGCTAAACTATTCAGATTCAGTTCTAATATGTTATTTTTTTTTTAATTTAATTTTAGTTGTTATGAAATTCTCATGTACTTCTAGGGGATTGGTGTTGCTTTGAACATGAGATGTCTTTATGAAGTTTTTCCAACATGGAAGCACTTTGCTTTCTTAAATGAATTAAATTCACACCCCCAGCAACACCCACTCTCTAGAATGCAATTAAACCTCAATTAGAATTCCATTTGCATTGAATTGGAATCAAGCTAGACCCAAAATAAGAAATATATAAATCACAACCAAATTGCAATGACAATAATGTAAAATTAGATGTGTAAAACAATTTAATCTGAGATGTATAAATGTATTAACATTGGAAATCACTTGCAAGTAAATTGGAACAGACAAAATTACCATTGAATCCAACACAGAATGAAATAGAACTAAATTAGAAATACAGTAAGTTTCAATAAGTTGGAATTGAATGAACAACATTGAATCAAAACCCCTTACTTAAGTTGAAATTGACTTAGACCTAAGGTAGAATTGAATTAGAGTCATTTAACCTAGAGCTTGGTTAGTTGGACAGTATTGACTTAGAATTAGATTATAACTAAATTCAATTAGAATTGGGCTAGAATAAGATTGCAGACTCAAATTTGAATTCAATTACAAAGAATTCAATTAGCCTCAACTTAGAATAAAAATTAGAAGCATATTGCAGATTCAAATTTAAACTCAAATGTGAATTTAATATTAGATCCAAAGTAGTCAAACATAATTAGAATTAAATCAGAATAAAAATTCAATTAGAATTTGACTACAATGAAGTTTAAAATACATAGACTTACGTTAGAATTCAATTAGGCTCAACTTAGAATCAAGTAGAAGTATGTTACATACTCAAGTTAGATTCAGTTTGAAGTTCACTTAGACTCAAATTTGAATATAAATAGAAATTGATGTGAAATTCAATCAGAAATCGAATTGGCTTAGAATTTAGTTAAATTGTATTGAAGTCAAAATTCATAGAATTAAATTAGAATTGAATTAGTGATTAAATATAAATCAATGAGAAAAAATGCTGGTGGTCAGTAATAATCCAGGATCAAACCAAAACCTTGAGAAAACCAACGCAAAGAAACACAGAAAGCAAGAAAGACACTGTTAAAACAGAAAAAACATCAGACCCATGGAGAGGGACCCAAGAGAGGCTGGACAGGAGACACAGGTCTGTTTTTTTGTTTGTCCTTTGGGTCTGGACTTGTTGCTTTTTTGTTTTTCGGTTTGTCTATTGTGTTCAGAAGCTATTTTGCATTTGCTAAATCACTACCCTCACAAAAACCTGCGTTTCTACAATCTACACCACTCCACCCCCCATGGCTACCCCTTCTGTATGTATGTATATATATACATATACTCACAGCGAACTGCGTGCGGGGCTGCACTCGCTCCTTTTCAGAAAGCTTGAGCGGATCAAGGCGCACCTGCGAACGGAGAACCACCTGAGTCATGAACCTGTCAGGCGTGAACAGATTGCAAACTCTCACTGGTCTTTATATTTTTTTCGTGACTCAGGGCTCACCAACTGGGTATAGGGCTGGTTCAGCCATTTGCGAAACTGATCTCGCACCTCCTTTGTGGCTTTTGTCAAGCCATCAGCCCACTGCACACTAGTGGGACACCATCTGATGGTTTTACCATCTATGAACTGCTGAATGCTGCGGATGTCCACGTAGGTGCGCTTTTCTGAGGTCTTTGGGTGCTCTGCCGAAATGGCGTCGCGCAGACTCTTGCAGTCGGTAACTTGGAGTTGGTTGAGCCTCCAGGATGACAGATCTTTGGATGGCTTCTCGCCCGTCAGGAGCTCTGCCACCATCAAGTTGGCAAAGTAGCTGCGATCGACGCAATCGTCGCACGCCATGGCTTCACTTGCCAAAGTCGACCTGCAGACTTGGGCTGACTTGTTGCTTCGCCAGTCGATGAGGTTGGCTCTCGTGTTCACCTCAGTGCAATGAGGTGTGGTGAGCATGACAAGTGCGCCCTGTTGGCTGGCACACTGAGCTGCGTTAGCCCAGGAGGCATCGGCATAGCCCACGATGACCGAGGCCTTGTTTATGGCCACATCTGGTGGAGCGGCAGTACTCCAAGCATTCGTAGAGCTGCGCAAGCTCTGCTGGTGAGGTGTCTGCTCCCTTGTTGCATAGGGAGATGGCGGAGGCGATCTCTGGCTTGGTTTGGCTGGCAACCACTGCAATGATCCGGTCACGGATCTGCTCGGCTGTGGTGAGGGGTCCTCCTTCGGCGATTCTTCCTCGCCCGAGCTTCCTGCTTGTGGAGTTGTCCACGAACTTGTCCTGCGTGACGTGCAGGTGGTAGGCAACGCCGTGTGCCTTGAGCGTGAGCTCTTTCCCCTTGAAGTCTCAGACAGCTGTGTCTGGCTTCCCCAGTTGAAGAGGGAGAGAAGCTCCTCTTTCTGGTAGGCGCTCTGGCATGTCATGAGGAAGTCATCAACATAGACGATGCAGAGCGAGACCAAGCGATCGTCCTGTCGCTTGTAAACATCATCTTATCGAGGTGGTGCTGGATGTAGCCTGCGGACTGCATTCGCCTGATCACTTCTCTTGACCAAGTGCGTGGTGCACTTGCTAGGCCGTATATGTTCTTGAGCACCTTGTAGAGCCTTGCCTGGAATGTTCCAGCTCTGAGGGTGATTTCGTCCTGTGGGGGCAGGAGGTAGAGTGCCTCGGGGCGTTCATTGTTTTCGAAGGCCCCCTGCATGAATGCCGCGCTGACGTCTCCAGCCCATAAGATCCACGGAGTTGGATCTCCTTCCATCAGGCCATTGATGCCGGCCGTGAAGATGCTTAGGAGGATGTACTCCGAGACTCATTGGAGTCGGGCTGTCCCTTGAGACCCGATGGAGATCTGGGTCCAGGTGGCCCAATGCGACCACGCGGGTCTTTGCGACCAACTTGCTTGGGACCTTGCTTTTGTTTCGGTAGCATGCCCGGCTGCGAAGGACTCGGCGTCGCCTGGCTGGGTTGTTGAGGATGGCCAGTGCTTCTTCGTCTGGGACTGCCTCAACTGATCCCCATTCCATCCAGCCTCTTTCCTCCTTTTGGGCTGAGGCTATATATGCCTGGATGTCATCGGGAGCTTCATGATGCTCCGCCAGGGGATTTCTCTTTCGAACGCTTTCGCCTCTTTGCGGCTCATGAGGCGCGATGCGGGGTCCGTGCCATCATCAGGACCTGAAGAGTCCGCATCAGATTCTTCTTGTGACCCGGTGAGGTCTGACAGGAGGACGGCATGTCCTTCGTTGAGCAGGAGTGGCAATGCTGCTGTGCCGTGCATTGACCAAAATGGTCGGTGGAGAGCCATCCCATGTTGTGTGTGGAGGCTCGATGCCGGTATGCTGCGCTGCAAGCATTGCTTCATGTGTCCTCTTCTGTGGTAGCATGGGCAGTGGTTCACTTGCTGATGCGGTTGCTTGTGGCGCCGCTGCCGACGCTGATGCTTTTGTTGGCTCGATGTAGAGCTCGAGAACTGTGTTGCGGTCGATGTCGACCTGTGATCGCCTGTTGTTTCTGCCGTTGGCATGTCTGCCGTGCGCTGCGCCTGTTCTGCCGTGCCAGTGTTGTCGGTTTGCTGTTCTTGCTGAGCTGCCTGTGTCACACTTCCTGCCGGTGCAGTTGCAGGTTGTGTGGGTGGTGCCTGTGCTCGCGCTTGTACTGGTGGTGTTTCTGGCACCGGTGTAGTCCACGCTCCTCGTGTGGGCGTCCTCGGTGTCCGGGGTGCCTCTGAGGTGAGTCGAATTCGACGGTTGGTCGGTGTGCGAGACCTTGCCGCGCGGGTGAGACCAAAACGCTCTGGGTGGTAGTCCAGCGGTGTGATTGCTGAATCTACGGGAGCGTGACCAGCTGTTGGCGATGCTGGATATGAGTGGATGTGGATTCCACTCAGGTGCAAGTTTGTCGTTGCCTCTTGCTGTATGTGTTGCTCTGTCACCTGTTGCACAGGTTGCTGGAATGTAGGTGGTGTGCTCTTTGCCCGTGAGGTGGCTTGTGATGCCTGCGGGTGATCGTGCTCTTGTGGCGGTGGTGCCAGAGGTAATGCGAGAGGCATTGGTGCCTGCGCCGCTGGTGCTTCTGCCGCTGCTGCGTTGTCCTCGAGGTTGTCCAGCTGGTACTCATAGGCATCCTCGTCTCTGGGCGGCGCAGTTGTGGTCTTCCCAGAGGCCTTGCCGTATGTTGCGCGCTGCTTCTTTGAGGATCTGCTGGTCCTCACGTGAGGGTTGCCAGTGTTCAAAAATGTTCAAAACCAACTGCTCCTCGGAGTTGTTCCA